GCATCACATAGCAAAAATCTCTAAAAAAACCACCCACATCCACCACACACCCCTGCCTATGCCCACCATAAAACTAGGCCAGCACTTAGGCTTTAGCAGGTAGCTGTGGATCCTGGCAGATCCTGGTCCATACCCCCTCTCTTCCATGCCCCCATGAAAACCTGTGCCCTTAGTCCCCACACCTCCTACCACCAGGAGCAATGACAGAGGTTGAATGCACCAGTTAATGGCCATCAATCACGCCTGCTGTCATAACTCTCCTATCTCTGATTCATGTAATTAAAACCTCATTGTGGGGACCAGTAGATGGCATAATGGTTATATCATTGGAGTCCCACATGGTTGACTGTGGTTTGAGTCTCAGATCCAGCAGCTTAAAACTCATGCTGGGGGCATGTGCATGTGTGCCCAAAATCCCAAAAGGAGAATGGAAGAAAAGGGATTGATTGCAGCATGGCCATTCCTCTTGGGGGTGATTTCTTACTTTCTGTCTCTCTGTCTCTCCAGAAAGTACACGTGCCCTGTAATAATCTCTCTCCTAATAAAAGAAAGAAAGAAAAAAAAACTCATTGTGAATGGTGATAAAAAAAATCCCCTAGAGACATCATAGACCAGGATTTTTGAGTGCCTACTATGGTTTAGAAATTGTGGCAGGTGCAAAGATGCCTAAAACCTCACTGTATAGAAAGCAGAACAGGTGAGTAGATGATTCTAATGCAGCCTGGGGACCTCCAAGCTGACCTCATGGCCTGGGGACCGACCTCCAAGCTGACAAGGAAGGAGGAATGGGGAGTGGGAAGGGATCCTTAAGGAGGTGATATTTCAGGGCAGAGACAAGCTGACAGGACCACTCCAGCCCTGCAATCTAGGATAAGTGTAAGGATAACAGCACTCTCTGTAGAACTCTGTTTCTTCATCTAAAAAGTGAAGACCAATGACTATTTGCAAAACCATCCTGTCTCCCTAAAAGGGCCTGTGTGAAGAATAAGAGGAAAGCATGTGAAAAGGCTCTGAAGAATATGTAAGCTATTATTTATATAAATTCAGCAAATGCTACAGAGATTGAGATTTCTTAAAATCTTTTTCCTACTAAAGAAATATGTAAATAAGGAGGAGGAAAAAGATGCCTATGTTAAAAAAAAAAACTTGCATGCTTCAAGTATCATCATATAATTGAAGAGAAGAGAAGGAAAATTGAGGAGGTTTGCAATGTGGAAAACACCAGCTGAGGCCAGCTTATGACAGCTCAAACCCAGCCTCTTTCTTATCTCTTTCTATTTTTGAAAATCCCAAACTCCAATTACAGCTTAAAATTTCCACTTCCACTCGCAAGATCAAATCACGTTCTACTCCGAGACGAGACACACACAAGGACATGCAGAGACACAGGCTGACACACACCCACGCTGCCCATCCCCTAGGACTGTCTCAGAGGACAGTTCTGCATGGTCCCAAGGCAGGCTCAGGTGAAAACATGTGCAGCTCAGCGAGGACCAGAGCCGGACCACAGCTTCAGGGTTTGTCTGACTAATCCCTCTGCTATGAAAGCTTTGGCTCACACAGTAATGGGGACCAAAAAGCTTTAGCCTGGCAGGCTAAGCTCAATCTTGGGGCCCAATGACTCTCAGAGGAGGAGCATTCGCTGGCAGGCAAGCATTGCTCACATTCAGGAAGGAGGAGATGAAGGCTCTGCCCGACCAGCAGGTGAGGAACAAGAGCATTTTCTGAAACGGTTTCTGAGCTAGAGTAGGAGCCACTGGCACGGAAAGGGCTTCACAGGCTCATTAAAGCCGTCCAAGGGAAGCTGACCTCCCTTAATACCTGCTGCAGGGACAAGGTCAACCAAGAATCCCTGCGGGTTAAGCATCAAATTATCATATGACCCAGCAATTCTACTCCCCAGTCTATATACCCCAAAGAATTGGAAATAGACACTCAAACAACAGCTTGTGCAAATGTGTTTACAGCAGCACTATTTGCAATCATAAAACTGTGCAAATTACCCAAATGCCCATCATTGGATGAACGGATAAACAATCTGTGCTATATACACACCACGGAGTATTATTTGGCCATGAAGAGGAACAGTGATAACACGCTACAATGTGGCTGAAGCTCAACAACACACTTGGTTGAAAGAAGCCAGGATTAAAAGGCCACATCTTGTGTGATTTCATTTATACAAAATGTAGATAAATCCAGAGAGACAGAAAGCAGATTAGTGGTTGCCAGAGGCAGGGAGAAGAGGGCCATAAAGAGTGACTACTAATGGGGTTTCCTTTGGGGATGATGGAAATGTTTTAAGATAACATCGTGGTGAGGATTACACCACCCTGTGAATGCACTAAAACATTGAGTTCCCCACTTTCAAATGGCTAAAATGATCCATTTTGTTATATGTATTTTGTAGCACATACATATGCACTTGTACAAAATCAGCCTGCAGGTGGAGGCCACAGGGGTGGAGTCCACTGGGTGATGGCTGAACCCTGAGAGGCCTGGGCACAGTGCTGGGCAGAGAGCTCCTAGGTCAGATCCACACTCTGGCTAATGAGAGCCTGGACCTGTGAACTGCAGCTCTAGGGTTCTTGGTCAGCAACCTGGGAGAGGAAGGGAGTGGTCAGGCAGGGACAGGAGGCTCCAGAAAGGTGAGGTGGAGTAAGGAAGGGGCAGCAGTGCCAGGTGGGTGCTGGACACATGCCCTTCCCCTCTTCCCCAGAGGTGAACTTTACAATAATCAAGTGTATAGGATAATTCTGCCATTCTAGGCAAGGAACAAATTATCTTAGAAACACTGCTCAGAAAATGCTCATGTATAAAAAGAGAAAAAGCAAAATACAAAATTGTATAAATACAGTATGATTACAGCTATGTAAAGAGATGCTTTTGGCAAAGCAGAAAAACAATCCTAAATGTAAAGAAATGTTAACAGTGGGTGTGTTTGCAGGGTAGAGTTTTGGTTGATTAGTTTTCAATCTACTGTTCCATATTGTCCAAAATGTCTACAGTGACCGTGGAACACTGCTGTAATGGAAAATGAGAGGGCCTAGCCTCCTCAGTCCCACTCTCCTCACTGGCCAAAAAGCATTCCATTACACTACATTCCTAGGTTTCAAAGCCACTCTTTTACAGGATCTTAGCTTAAGTAGGGAACACCTGCTCTCTTTAGTATAAAATGCCCTGTAAACGGAGCGCTGTCTCTAACCCTGCCCGCCTACCTACTCCTACGTTCTCTAACCTTGACCCTCCTTGTTGAACACCTCATTCCAGTTTCTCTTTAACTCCAGGCATGAACAGTGGCAGGATGATCTAGCTGACCCTTGCTGGGTAGTATCAGCAACTCACAGACAGACTTTTCTGGAGAGGTCCAGGTTCCTGCTGGGAGGTGGATTTTCCCCACGTCAACATCCACAAGGTGCCCCAATGTTTTTCACATGTTTTGCTTCACAAAGAAGTTCCTCGTTGCTGCAATTTCATATTGCTTTTCCCTGAGGTCGCCTATTGCACTCCCCTTCCCTGGAGGTCCTCTGAAAGCAGCACAATGCCAGATGCAAGGAACCGGGGTGAACCTTGCCAAGCAGCACATTTAATCTTGAAGGGTGGATTCCTTTCACGTGACCCACTCCAACTCTTGGGATTCTACCCAAAATTCCAACCTCAGCACCACCTATCATTTGGCTTCTTACTATAATTTCTAACCACTGAGAACCTAGTCTAGATCAGGTGACGTGACCACAGGAGGTGACTCATGCCCCACCCCACCCCCAGTTTGTAATCTGTTAAGGAAGACAGAGAACTAAACCCAAAAGGGACAATGGTGGGCAAGTGAGAAATTACTTCCAGGAGGGAGCCCAGCTGGCTGTGCAGTCAGGGAAGGCTTCCTGGAGGAGGAGAGATGTAGGTAAAGCTTGAAGAGTCAGCGGGTTTGTGGAAAGGAGGGAAAGGACATCCAGGGGCAGGAGGGACTTAGAGTAAAAGATGGAGTCATGGGATATAGGGCATTTAGGAAGAAGGAGCAGCCTGGCTTTTTGTTGCTGCAGAGATGGGCTTAGAGGAAGGGGGCATCTGGAAGGGACTTTGGGGCTAAGTGAAACCCTTCAAATGAGAGATCTGTTTATGATGGAACAGCTCTCACTCTAGACCTCAGGTGGATTATTTCACAAGGAGGAGATGAGAAGGGAACTTTTCTAACCAACACTGAGTGGATGAACCCTCAGGGACAATGGTCACTGATGGGCTTTAATCTCTAGGCCCACATGTGAGAACACTGTAAACCCACCGAGGTTCTGTCACTGAGTGAACAGCATTGGTGGGGTAGGTTAGTTCTCTTCTGAGCAGTTTAATGGCTCAGTCCATTCATCCTCTTAACACTGTCATTATACAGGTGTGAGATGAGTAACTACCAAGAACAGCATGTAGGAAATACCCACAGCACAGGGAAGACGCAGTTAGGGCAACATCCAGGTACTGGTGCTGGTTGTTAGATCGAGTTAGACACTTGTTCTGAGACTGTTTCCTCATCCGTGAAATGGGCATGTTCTAAATACCTGGTTTCCTCCTTCATAGAGGAGCTGCACAAGCCAGTAATTCAGGGAGAGTAATGAACAGTAGAAACGCTAGTCACTGATACTGTCACGTGCAACATGCTATGCATGCATAAGGGCTCCCTTTCTGGAACTTTCTATCATCTGGTAGAAATAGCTCTGGGCAGTTTTCTCTTGCCCAGGAAGATGCACATGTCAGGTACCAGCTGCTGCAGCCCCAGCTGCAGGCCTCTGTGGGATGACAGTGTGATCCCACAAACATGCCCCATCCCGTCTCACCACTGACTGCAGTGTAACCTCAGCAGACTACTCTGCCTTAGTTCCTTTATTTACAAAGTACAGACAGAAGCTTTTCCCACCCACCTCACAGAGAACTTGGGAGGCCCATGTGAAGTAATGACCTTGAGAGGGCCAGGGGTTGCACTAAATCCAGCTCTGCTCCCAGGTCTTGCTCACCTCTTTCACCCTGTGCAACAAGGGCTGGAGCCAGTCCCTGTTCACCTCGCAGTGGCTGTCCAGGAAAGTCAGAGTGGTGCCCTGGGCCACATCAGCACCCCGGATCCGGGACCTGACCAGACCTGCAGTTGGGGACAAATGACCAGGTTGGTGCCACTATACTCCACTGTGCAGCAAGATTACCCAGAATTCCCCTTGGGTATTCAAGCACACAACCAACCCCCACACTTGCATCCCAGGCTCTGCCAGCAGCACAGACCTACCTTGGCGTTCATTATTGCGCAAGCATTTCACCTTGGGCAGCTTGATGAGCTGTCTGCAGTCATCCGCTGCAAAGACAGAAGGTTATAACGAGTGAGCACCCTGGGGCAGGCTAGTGGGAGGCAAGTGCGCACTGCAGGCAAACCTGAAGGAGAGGTGAGGCAGCTTGCCCAGGCTTTCATGCCCAGATGCAGAGCTCAGGCCTGACTCTGGGGCATTTCTGGACTATGGACAGGGCTGACGATCGCTGCTGTCACACAGCGGGGCCCAGACAGGACAAAGTGCCTCAGGTGGGCCTCTTTAGAACAGATCAGTACACCATGGCACCCGTGCATTTGGAGCAGATCCGTACACCGCAGTACCTGTGTATTTGGTTAAAAACATGCCAGATAAGAAATCTTGGCCTGGTCCCTTGGGCACTTGCCCTTTACTATAGACCATTAAGAGCATGAGAGCAAACTCTGTTCACTTTAGAGGGTCTGGAAAAACTTCTTAGAAGCCAAAAATGAATGAGATGGATTTGGGGCTTTCCTTCTTGATCATGGAGACCCTCTTGTGACGTGTACCTTCCATTACACAGAGCAGGTTCGACTCCCCATCATGCAGAAAATGTTCAGGGTAGGCAAGTCTCTTCATCGTGGCACTTGCCCTAGAGGGCCCTGGCTTGCCTATTGTCCCATCCCTCTTTAGTCACAGTTCCTTGGCTCCAACTCTGTATGTTGGCCCCACTGTTTTGGATTTTCTTCATTAGTTTGTTAAACTTGATGTCTCTGCTTAGTTCTGGGCTCTATAGAGTACCTAAAGAGAAAACTTACACAAGTTTTCCCTGGGAGAGGTACTACTCTAAGCACTTTGAATGTGTTAACACATTAAATCCTTATATAAATCATACATACTCTTATTAGCATCTCCAGCTCATAGACAAACTGCACACATGGGGTTAATAACATACCCAAGGCACATAACTAGTGAGTAAGTTATAGATTTAGGATTTGAATCCTGGCAATCTGGTTCTAGAGTCTACACTCTAACCACTAAGTTAGTCTGCTTCTAAGTGGATCCAGTAGTGTTCCCTTCTCCTGTATGTGGCAGGCTACCCCCCACATCAGGGCCAATATCTCCCCATTTCCAAGCTCTTCCTCATATGCAAGGGACAGCAGATGAGCCAGGCCTTGTGCACGACCACTTCTGCCATTACTCCTGGAATTTCAAGGCTGCCAGCAGATGTGGGCTTCTAGCCTTCGTAGCAGACCCCAGCTGGACATGAATCCCTGGGTCCAGCTCCCAGGAGCAGTGCTGGTGGAGATGATCCCATTCCGGGAACTTGGAGCTGTCCCAGTGGCACCTTGCTCCCCCTGTCACCCTGAAGAGATGGTTCTGCCTGATATTGCACCCAGGCTGCTGGGATGAAGGCTCTCGAAGGAGGTGTTAGCACTACAAATATCTGAATTCTGAAGATGTTTCTACAATTATTGTATGGATCTTTTAAATTTAGTGCACAGATGTCTGGAAATATTCACACTTTGTGGGGGAGGGTAGACAGTGGATATAGAGTGTGAATTTGGGTAGGACCCAGGGTCTTTGAGAGGAATACCTGGGGGACATGAAGTTAGAAACAGTGATGAGCAGTGTGGTGTAAGGCGGAAAGGCAGCTGCTCACTGCACCCCACCCAGGCCTCCTGGAGGAATGTGAGGGAGCAGGCAAACTGGCCTCAGCTCAGGCTGGCAGATCAATGCAGCGTAAGAACTGGGAATCTCCTGTGATGGGCACCGCTTCTGGGCTTTGGGTCCCTGTACTGATCCTTCAAAGGTTCAGTATCTCTTCCTCTGTCCAGAAATGTAGGCTAAGGGGCAATACATACGTATGCAAGACATCTGTACTTGCATACATCCACACATACTTGCATGCACACATGCACACACCCTCCCACAGATGCACACACACATTGACACACCAACTCAATAATCTATTACATTTAACTGTTAGGTCCTCAAAGACTCACAGCAGAAAACCTAAGAAATTGTTTCTTGAATGTGAAGTTTTTCTCCTTCTTGAGCCCAGCCATGGACACCCAAAGTCTTCCACAGCTATCACAAACCTAGGATTTCCTCTCTGCAGATAATCAGTGGACTCACCTCTGCCTGTTACACAGGAGCTGGGAACAGACATTTGTAATAGAGCAATGGTGGAATGACATTACTTACGGTCATTGCTGAAGTCATCCACTAATATGATTTCCTGGATCAGATGCATAGGGGTGCGGTTTAATACACTGCAGAAGAAAAGAGGAACAATCATTATGACTTCTAGTGGCGATATAAAGATATACGAAACCTGAGCTATAAATAGACATCATTGCATTTGAGGAATGCAACTCAAATCACCAAAGGGCTTGTCCAATGATGTTGCTCATCTGTGAGCCAGTGGGGATATAATTCTGCCTTCTCTATTTTAGTACATACTACCACTACCTAGCTAGCCATTCGGACAGAAGCCCAGTGGTCACTTTCAATAGTCTGCCCTCTCCCTGACAATCTACATCAGATCAGAGAACAAAACTAGCTGACTCTATCTGAAAATATTTCTTAGACCATTTGCTCATTTTTTAAAAAATGTTTTTGCTATAGGATGTGGGTACTAGCTGGAGAGACAGAGAGACAGAAAATGAGAAATCATCCTCCAGGAGGGATGGCCACACTGCCATCCCTTGTCCTCCATTGCCTCTCGGGATTTGGGGCACATGTGTGTGCACACACACATGTGCCTGGCATGTTTCAAGCTTCTGGGTCCAGGACCCAAACCATGGTCAAACACGTGGTAGACTAGCACCTTAATCACAATTCCCCTTGCTGGGCCCACTCTTACTCTTTTGCACTGTTCAGCTCCTTTTGCCTGGTTTATTAGAATGGCTGTGATCTGCTCTATTCTCTCCCAGCCTCAGGCCATTTTCCTTGGGGACTCAGAGTGAGCTTCCTGAGGCCCAGACCTGGTTATGTGACTCTCCTTATTACTGCAAATAAGTGAACTGACAAAATCTCCCAGAGCAGCTCTCCACTTCCCACATCCCGAATCCTCTGCATGCTCAGCAAGGCCTTTCACCCTCAGAAGCCAGCCACGTTGCCCACTGCCTCCCTTGCCCGGTGCAGTTAGCAAAAATATCTTGCTCATTCATAGTCGAGAGCCCTTTCTCCTACTGCTGCCAAGCTTGACATGCCCCTACGCCGCCCACAAAGCCCAGTTCACATGTCACGTCCTTTCTAACAGCTTCCCAATCTACTTAGTGAGAATTAATTGCTTCCTCCTCTGGGATCCCTCAGCAGTTCGCATCTGAAACTTCCTTTGGCTTTTATCACTTTCTGACCATGAGGGCTGGTCTTGTTCCTAAACTCTCCAGGGTAGGATCCTTGTCAAATTGCTACCTGTACTGCCAGAGTCCAGCACAGTGCCATGGCCCCTTGCTACTCCCTCCAGGGATATATTTAGTGCAGTCATACTATGGGTTTGGCCCTGGGTATGTAATGATGAATAGAAAAGTGAGCTCTGACCTCCAGAAGTTTGTGGTTTAGCACTACTTCTACATGCTGTGTAATCTTGAACAGTTACTTTACTGCTCTGTGTTGCAAAGTATTCCCATCTATAAAATGAAGATAATATAAATAGTACGATCTAGTTAACAAGGCTATCAAGAAAATTAAAGGAGAAAACGTATTGAAAGCATTTAGGATGATATTTGGCACTAAGTGATGAAGAATTGTAGCAATTACTGCTATTCTGTGTGTCACCAATGACTTTCGGATTGAAGACTCAATTACCCTTCCTGTGCTATGGATCCCTACTTAAGGGACAAGAGTTGGATTTCAGTGTTAACTCTGGGTCTCAGGCCTGACTAAGGTGGCTGGATCCTGCTTTACATGAACACCCCAAATTCCCTGGGTCTTTGCAATCATTCCTGGGCCAGCCCAGCCTCTGTGGGACATCCAGAGCTCCATGTATATTGGGAAAGGGGACTCACACAGGTGCTGGCAGAAGAAACGTGTGCACCTTCCTTTCAGAAGGTCCATTCTGAGCCCTGTTAGGTGCAGCGCCCTCCCTAGGCAGAATGCAGAATGCAGATCTGGAAGAGAGCTGTGCCTAAAGTGACCTTTATTTACGAAGCTGTAATTCTCACCATGGTAACTAGTATAAGGGGATGAGAGAGGGACCTCCAACACAAAGCCCCCGAGTCTGCCGTCACTGTCTGTTGGGAGCTTGGGGACAGAATGGGAAGAAAGTAGTGAGAAGAAACTGTTCCCCGTGATCCTCCTAAAGAAAACACAAGCAAACCCAGCAACCCCGCAACCAGCACTATAATCAGGAAAGGAGGGGGAAAAGAAGCAGGAGAGAAGAAAACCTGCTGAAAGAATAACCTCTAATGAGGTTTGATTACGGCTGTAGCTTCTGCATTCGATTCCCCCAAATCCCTGCCGGCTCTTTGAAATTCAAGAGTTCTCTTCTGTGCACATCAAAAGGTAAATCGTGTGCAGTTTCTGTGCTGGTTGAACTGAGAGATGATTAGCGAATAAAAAATGTCCAGGGTTTAAAACAGAAAAAAACCAGAATAGTCAGCAGTAAGGGCTAATTAGACCATTTCCTGGTAACACCTGGCTTGTTTTTGCTTCTCTAATCAGAGCAATTGGAATGATGATGGGGTCTCTGTAAAAGTGGTTTGGGGCTGCAAGGGCTTGAGATGGGCATATGCTCAGGACACCTGGTACGGCTAGAGAAAAAGAGTCAAGTCCAAGGAGAGGTCCTGGCCTGGCTCGGCTGGTCTTCAGGGCCCTCCTTTCTGTACCACCTTCATTCCCACCACTCAAGCCCTACTTGCTCTGGTATCCCTCCCAGGCTATTAAGGGTACTTCTCACCAACCCTCTATAGTGAAGTATATCCTCCCTTTCATGCAGGACCCAGTGTAGGATATGTTTTTCTTTACTTTTCCTACAACCCAACTGCCACGTGCCTTTTCTTACACAGCCTCACTGACATATACGGGTCACACTCTGCCTGAGATTATTCTAGAACTGGGTCTTCTAAATGCACCTTACCTCTCTGCCAGAGGGTGACTGCACAGGCAGCATCTATGCTCCCTGCTTCCTGCCTGCTGTGCCCTACCGGTGGGGCCCACACAGAGGTGGGCTCTACCACCTACTAGCTGTGCAATCCTGAGCTAGATGCCAGTCGGCTTCCAGCTTTCATTGCCTCCTGTAATTACATTTTCCTTGTAAAAGCAGGCGATATTAATACTTGACCTACTTCACAGCTTTTGTGCGTATGAAATGAGGAAATGTATTTGAAATTGCTTTGTGAACTCCACGGTGCTCTATGCAGGCAGGTTTTATCAAACACTTGATAAATATGAGTTGAACGAAGACCTGAGGCTGGCTGCCAGTTGAGTTTAGTCATTCTGGAGTGAGACTGACCTGGGATTAAGTGGTGTGTCTGTGTATCTGCCATCCACTAGCTGGGAGGGCATCAGTAAGTACAATTTCCTCAGTTGCTTGAGGTGAGCTTTATTAGCACCGTGCTTGGCACGTAGCAGCTGCTGTCTGAATGTGGGCACTAGTAATAGCCATACTGAAATTAATGACAGCGACAGGCACGGCTTACAGTTGTGCTTCTCAAAGTGCAAATCCCTGAGCCAGCAATATCAATATCACCTGGGTGTTTGTTATAAATGCACATTCCTGGGCCAGCAGGTGGCATAGTGGTTAAGGGGCTGGATGCCCACATGGCTGACCATGGTCTGAGTCCCAGACCTGGCACCTTAAAATTCATGCTGGGTACATGTGTGTGCATGCCCCAAATCCCAAGAGGAGAATGGAGGAGAAGGGATTGAGGTGTGGCTAACCCCTTTCTGCTTTCTGTCTTTCTTTCTCTGTCTCTCTGGTGAGTACATGTGCCATATAGCAAGTCTCTTAAAATAAGAAAGAAAGAAATGCACACATTCCTAGGCCCCACTACTGCAGGCTGACCGATTTAGAATTTCTGGGGGGAAAGACCTAAGAATGTATATATATAATATATAGCTATATAACCTTAAATATAACTATAACTACACACACACACATACATATATATATATATATATATATATCCTGACTGCTCCACTACAGAGCCATCCCAGAAATCATGTTGTAACAAGCCTGCATTAGAACAGCGCTATACATTGGGGTTGGAGGCTCGTAGTGACACTCGTCTCCTGAACAGGCACGCTGTAACTGGCCAAAACGGTGCCTAAATAAGAAAAACCTAGTGCTAACTGCTGTTTTATAAGTTTGCTTGCAGGATGCATACCCTGAGAAGAGTGAATGACCTGAAGTTGACTCCCAGTGCAGGGAGGTAGGGAGAAGGTTGGCTGTGCAACAGTGACCAATTAGAACAGTTTCCGTTTCCATCTTCCATTTGCTTAAATGAGGATGCTTAGAAAGCTTAATGGACTGCTGCCAGAATTAACCAATCAGAACTGCACAAGTTTTGATCCTTCATTTGTATAAATGAACCTAATTGACAACACAGACCTAATTGAAGACTTGAATGGGTATTATTTCTCCATAAAAGCTCAACTCCAAATCCACTCAGGAAGACAGTTTTTTGAGCAGTTTAATTCCCTGTCTCCTGATTGACATCATCCATAACACAGCTTCCTACCACAACAAACTCCATGGTCAGAGATTGGCTTTTCTGGCAGCAAGCAACTGATTTTTGGTCCATAGCCAGGTTGGTTTGGTAATGGCACTGCTCCTTTACCCAATTGAACTTATTTAGTTTTCTCCAAAGTAATGTCAGGTAGTGATTAGTAGTCGTCCCTATTTTGCAGAAATGAAAACTGAGGCAGAAAGGTTAAGTAGCTTGCTCAGGGTTACAAAACTGTTAGGAGCAGAGGCAGAAAAATCCAGTCCCAGAGTCCACATTTTTAACCATTTGACTCATAAGCTGCTCCCTGAGATCATGGATATTGCAAAAAGGCAACAGTGAGAAGACAGATATAATGATCAGTTGTGTATACTCCAGAGCTCCCACAGGAGGGCTAAAGCTGCAGGAAGCTCCAAGGAGACAATCCAGGTCTCACATACAGACGACTCCCTGTAGCACCCGTAAAGATGAGCCATTCCTCAGAGTTGGTTTTCTCTCCCCTTAAATGAGAAAGGTCCCCAATATATCAAGGCTGTGATTCTCTCTGCCCCTATTACCCACCCCATCAGGCCTGCCTCTGAATAACCCCACATACATCTTCTCAGCCCCTACTCCCCAGCTAACTCAAGAACTCAGGGGACCAGAGGCCTGGGCAGGGTGGATAGAGAGGAATGGGTGGGCAGAAGGGCACAGACCCAGCCAAGTGCTGGGCAGGCATGGTAGGGATGGAGAAGAGGGCATATTCAGTTCCCCCTAAGAACCATAAGTTAGCACCTGGCAGCAAAGCTGTCCAGAATTCTAGAAAGTTATAGATGAAAGAAGATCTTTTCATTGATGACAGAGCAAGATAGGAAGTACTCTATTCTGTTTCCTCCCGGTAGCTAGAGATTCATTTGTGCAACAGGACAGGGATTGAGAGGGAGGTACACAATCTTAAGGCATGGAAGTTTCTAGAAGACATCTTCCTTATCCCCACTTATGAAACTCATTTACACCCTGCTTACTGATGATAAGTGCCTGTCTGTTAACACCTGGTTTTCAGGCTTTCATTCTACTACTTGTGTACTTCACTCTTGGGTCTAAGCTGGAGGTCAGCTGTTTTTGGGAGAAAGGAAACAAACCATGGGCTCTTGGTACATAGTCTTGTACTTTGTGGTTGTCTTCTGAAAAGCCTGGTGTTGATAGGCCTCCCAGAGTACAGAAGGCCAGACCTAGCGGGCAGCCTTCCATTAGGCCAGTGGACTCAGGAGCTTGGGCTGCACCTCCAGGGAAGTCGGGCAGCTCTGCTTCCTGGCCCCGTGGCTCTGGGTCTATGTTCACCCATGTACCACCCAGTTCACAGGCTCAGGTACAGGCTCAAATGTAAGTGAGAGATGGGATGTGTTCTGTAGACTATAAAGCTTAGGATGCATTCAACATATGAAGTATCACTATTGCTATTAGAAAGAGATGGAGGGGCAGCAGGAAGAGAAGAAATAGGACTTAGAGATAACTGGGATATGTCTGAAAGCAGGCGAGGTGCCCCCATAACATAGCAAAGGGCTAGGGAGGTAATGGGGTCTGGGAAGCTCCCATATTACAATGAGCCCAAAATGTTGGAGACATTCCCAAGAGGAATATCCATAGCAGCAAACATCAACTTGAAACATTATATATGTATGTGTATATATATATATATGTGTGTGTGTGTGTGTGTGTGTGTGTATATATATATGTGTGTGTGTGTGTGTGTATATATATATGTGTGTGTGTGTGTGTGTGTATATATATATATATATATATATATATATATATATATATATATATATATTTGTTTTGCCAGAGAGCACATACACTACACACACATTCATTTTGCCAGAGAGCACATGCACTCACTGGAGAGAAGGAAAATTAGAAAGCACCCTCCCATGGGGAATGGTTACAGCACAATCCCTTCTCCTTCATTTCTCCCTCCTGTAAGGATTTTGGACATGGGGCATGCATAGGTGCCTGCTGTATGTTTCAAGCTGTCAGGTCCAGGACTCAAACCATGCAGTCGGCCACGTGGGGGTCCAGTCACTTTAACCACCAGCTGACCCCATGAGAGGTATTTTTTATTATCATTTTACATATCTGCCCAAAGTCACAGAGCTAGGAAGCGGTAGTGTAGGGACTTAATCCCAGGCCTCCAGACTCCAAGTGTAGTGCCCTGGTAAGTACCCCAGGTGGGGTGCTTTCCTTTGAAAGCTCACAGCCATGCAGACAGAGAGGGCTAAAACTGATGAAGCACGTACTCTGTGCCAGGCACAGAGTCCATTAGCTACATGAACCCATAGCACCCTTGTGTGGTCGGTGTGATGGGTATTCCCATTTCCTTAATTGGGAAATGAGCCATAGGGAGGTTAAATAAGAGATGAATAAGCGATAGTCCTTGCCCTGGAGGAGCCCACTGAAGATTCCACGTGGAAACTGCACTAGGTGCTAGAGTGGTGATGTGCAGAGAAGGCCCAGAGGAGGCCCCTGCAGGCATGTGTGTGAGGGTTGGGGAGAGGCGTGCACATAAATGCACACTGAATGGGTACAGATCCCTGGAGTAAAGACCTCCTTGAAAGAAGCAGCAGAACCATCTCGGAAAGTGAGGGGCTCTTTAGATGCTAAGAGAGTCATCATGGAAGCATCTGGCAGACATGCCCAGACCCTGTGTAGCAGCCACCTCAGGCAGGCAAGGCAGGGGCTGCCATTTGTTTGCTCTATAAACCTGCCCTGGTGCCAAGCAGGTCATGACAGTGACCGGGGTCTGAGTCACTTCTGTTCATGTGTGTCTGCTTGGCCCAAAAGGCCCAGAAACTGTTCTCTCTCAGCAGGGGAAACCCAGGTACATCAGACCACCTGTATCCTTGTTCACCTCATACATACCCTAAGCAATTTACAAATCAGCAAGGAGCTTTATTAATCTACTGTGAGACTCATTGTGACACCTGAGTGACTTGGCACATTTTCTTGTCAAGAGCTGTGGCTTTGTTGAGAAATCAGATTTGAATCAGGTGGTAATCAGGTGGTTTATGGGGTAAATGCTAAAGCCGGGACAGGTCACATGGCAGGTGGGAGGAGCCAGCCGTCAGTTGCCAAGGACATCTGGACACAGGTAGAGCTGACCGCTTGGACAGGTGGGAGGACTAGGCTGAAAATTGCATGTCTGGACAGGTCCCTTCCTGTGTTTCTAAGGCACGTGCTGACCCTGAACAGTGGACATTCATCATCCATGACAGGTAGAGCTGAAAATTTGGTGCCTTCCCCATGGCGAGCCTTCTGCAGCACTTACCTCCCTCCCCTGGACCTCCCGACTGCCATAGCTGTGCAGATGTGGGCAGGAGAGAGGACTAGTGAGGCTCATTGGGTGGAAATGACAAGGGATAGTGCTGTGCTCTGTGCACTCTCTTTGGTCTATATTTTACCTTGTTTCTTCTCTGTGGCATCAGGTGACCATCTGATGTGCTGCCTAGCAGATGGAGACAGGTTGTAAAGGTCTTGTGTCACAGGAGCACAAAGGTACTGTCGACACTTTACGGCAGGGCCAGGCACTGGCTCTGCTGGAGGAGGTGGCTGGGAGCATCTCCCCAGCGGTGCTGGACATCATCACTGAGACCAGACCAGCCTGGCCCTATGCAGGCTGCTGAGAAGCACTGTGAAGTCAGAGTGCAAGGGCAAGAATCCTGCTTCACCATTAGTAACTACTCCACTTCAGGCTTTGACTCCATACCTCCAAGTCTCAGCTTCCTCAGCTGTACAGCAGGCATGGCAAAAGCCTCCCCACCTCCCCAGCTGAGCACATGAGCTGCAGCACATCTGCACAGGAGCAGCACACACAGACTGGTGGCTGCCCCTTCTGCCATGGAAGATGTAGTTGCTGCTAGAGACCTGAGGGAGGAGGGCAGGGCAATGACCTCAAGAGCAGAGGGTGGGTATAGGGAGAAAAATAAATAACTGCAGTGTGGGGGAAGGGGTGCTGCTAAAAGAGTAGGTCTTTGTGAACCTGGGGGAGGAATTCTCAGGGAAGAATGCTAGCTGTGGATCCATGTTCTGAGGGGGTTTCTGCTGGGGAGCTGGTGCATATCAAAAATCCATGCAGATCACAGGCCATGCATGGCCAGACATCCCCATCTGAGCAAGAACATGACCCAGCCTCAGCTCTAAGGCTGGACAGAGAGGCTGAGGGAGAACCATGGGGCTGGAGCTTCAGGTGCTAGCCCAGAAAGCAAACAGATTTCCTTGGCTGTTCTGATTTACATCGTTTTCATGGAGGGTGGGTACAGGCTATGGAGAGACAGGCACCGGGATGCTTTAGGGGTCAGGTATATGCTCAACTTTGCAGGGCATCAGTCCTGTGGTCAATTGGGAACATTAGAACCCCAGCTCCAGAGACAGTACAGCATAGACATGAAGCACATGGGTTCTGAGTCCAGTTCCTCTATTAGCTTTCTTTAAATTTGTTCACGTTGCCTAACCCCACTGGGTATCTATCTTTCTCCCTATAAAATGGAGCAATGGTCTCCCTCATAGGCATGTGAGGAGTGACAGAGTGGCTGGATGTGATGCATAGAACAGTACCTGGCATGTAATTAGGAGTGTCAAATAGTCCCATCCCTGGGTCAGGCGCCCAGTGAGCAGTCACACTGTCACTGAGGGCTGGCTGTCTTACCATAGGGCGGGCACCACCATGTCCAGGGCTGGCTGTCTTACCTGCGGATGGTTCTGAGCAGGGCAGAGCGAGCCTCGTTGTGGAAGGTGATGATGATGCTGGTGGGTGGGAGGTCTGTGCAATATACCAGCAGGGTGCATCTGGGGAACGAAAGGCAAAGGCGAGTAAGACCTCTGGGGGCAAAGCAGATTTGCAGGGCTGGGACCACATTGGGAAGGTCACCAGTATGGAGAGATGCTTGGTGTTTAGGAGGCTTGCAGCGGTGTTATTGGGTAAGAACTCAGGCCCTCCCAGGAATGTAGGCTTGAAGCAAAATAAAGTTGATATACAGAAAATAAACACGCTATTTCTTTTCTTTTTTCTTTCTTTTTTTTCTTTTCTTTCTTTTTCTTTTTTTTTTTCTTCTTTTTTTTTAGAGGTTTTTGCTGCAGGGCTAGTGCACTGGCCAGAAAGACAGAGAGAGACAGAGAGACAGAAAGCTAGAAATCATCCCCAAGGGGTATGGCCACGCAATCCCTTTTCTATTCTCCTCTTGGAATCTTGGACACGTACGCACATGTGCCTGGTGTGACTTTAAGTCACTGGGTCTGGGACTCAAACCGCAGTCGACTACATGGGAGTCCAGCGACATAGCCATTATGCCAACTGCTGGTCCCTAAACATGCTATTTCTTGCATGCCTGAATTAGAGCCCAGTAGTTTGTTACAGTTGCTTAAATCCAACCCTAGTCTGTAACCTATCAGTTTCTCTACCCATACCATGGGCCAGGGTACAAATCCCTGCTGGCAGAGGCCTCACCAGGATATGGGCCAACAGCATCAGCCCAACACACCATGCTGACCCTGACCCCTGCCACCCACTCCTAAATCTGGCATGTTTAAAGAAAAAGCCCTAAACTCCTGGTATAAGCAATAAAATCCCATCTTGAAAAAGCATTTGCTTCCCTGTGTCCAGGATTATTTTGTATGGCAATTACATCTGGGGTAATTTCAATTTAATACCTCACTGCAAGTGAAAATTGTAGCCCGCAGCCCCCAAATTACTATAATAATGGAAATAAACACGCCAAGTGAGGCTGGTGCCACCAGAGGCTATCACTGGGTAAATGCTTCCTCCTGTTTCTCGCTATTTTGGGGGTTGTCCAATTATGGGTAGGGTGGGAGGCTTAAAAGAGGAAGTAAATAACAGACGTTGGATGAGTCAAACATTTGCTTTCACTCTCTTCTTTTTCCTAGTTCTAGGACTTTGAGTTTAGGGTCCAGGAACCTAGAGAGGGACTTACAGGGGATTCTGAGACCTCTGAAATTGTTCACAAACTCTGTGTCCAAATATGAATTTTATTTTTCTTTCTGGGAAAATGTTTCTTAGTTTTCACTAGACTGTCAAATAAGTCTGTGGCCTAAATCACTTAAGACCCTCAGTCCTAGGTCAATAGGCCCGATGTCCTTGTGGCCTTCCTGAAAGCCCAAATGGTTTTATCCATAGAGGCAAACACTGGGACTTGGCTCCGGTTGATGCACAGAAAGCCTGTTCCATCTCGGACTTGAGGCCTCCAAAAGGCTAGGTTTGTGTTGTGCATGAGGAGCAGAGAGTTGGAAAAGGAAGGCCCCAAGGGAAGAAATGGTGGAAAAGGGAAGTCATGACCTCCAAGCCTTCTGGTCTCTTCCTCACAGAGATGGCTCACCACATCCTTGCAGCTCCACCTCCTGGATCTACCTATCCTCTCTTATCCCCACAGCCCCAACTCAGGTAGTCTGCACTCTTGTTGGGACAACTGCAGCAATCTTCTGCCCCTGCCAGTCTCATTCAGCCCACCATACAGCCCAGCCAGGCCTTCCTCTGGCCTGAGGCCCTCCAGCGGTTGCTGATGTATCAAGTACAAACTCACTATTACAGCTTTCAATGCCTTTCACAATCATAGTCTCATTTGCTGACTCACCACCATTGTTCATGTTGTTACTTCTAAGTGGAGCAATATCCTTCTTCCTTTCTCTACTAGAGAACCTCCTAGTTATCCTCCAAGACCCAGAGCAAAATGTTCCCTGCCATACACCCCCATTTAGGTAATGACCTGTCCTTTGTGTTCCCATAATTCTATATATCTCTTATCTGGCTTCACATATCTCACATCGCTTTCTAGCACTTCTTATGATGAAGCTGTCTTCTCCACTTGACTGTGAGTTTGCCAGAGTTGCTTTAGCATGTGAATTTGCTAGAGTTGCTCTTGCAAAATATCCACTGTTCTGTCCATCTCTAGTCCTACAACAGGATCTAAGTATACCAATTGCCCATTATGGAGAAAGGGAGAGAGAAAGTGAGGATACTGATTCCTAGGTCAGCTGAGACAGCCTTTTATGGCTTAAAAAGTGACATAGCCTATCTCCCTTACGGCTACCAGTGATTCTTACCTACTGGTCCTCATGCCCTTGTGTAATTCCTTCTCTCATTGAGTATGGCAGTTCATATACCAATAGAATATGGTGAAAGTGACAGCGTGGGCCTTCAAAGATTAAATCATAAAAGCACTCAGACTGGGGACCAGTCTGGTTACATAATGGTTACATCACTAGATTCCCATGTAGTTGACCATTGGTTCAAGTCCCAGACCTGGCAACTTAAAACTCACATCGGGTATGTGTGCATGTGTGGCCATCCTCCTGGGGTGTGATTTCTCATTTTCTGTCTCTCTGGCAAGCGCATGTACCCTATAGCAAAAATCTCTCTTAAAAAAAAAAAAGACTATTGTCAGAGCCAGCTGTGATGGTGCAGTGGTAATGCAACATTCAGTGATGCTGGACCCACATGGGAAGGTTCCAGGTTCATGTCCTGAGGATTCCCTACGCATGCCAGACATAAGTCTATGATTCAACTTGTCAGTCACATGAATGAGCCACCTTGCAACTACAGATGACTTCTGACTGCAGCCTAATAAGAGATTCTAAACCATAATCACCCAGCCAAGATGCTCTAAATTCCTGACCCACAGACATTATGAAGATACTCAATGATCCTTGTTGTTTTAAGCCACTAAGTCCAATCATTTCTTGTGCGTTAGATCACTATTATAAAAAAGGAAGGAGGATGTCTTGAAATGACCCCAGTGAGAAGAGGTTGTGGACTTGCCTATCTGTGGACACAGGCCTGACCCTGCATTAGGAGCAGCGGGAAGGGAGGAGGGCAGGCAGTTGGTCAAGGTGGGATTGGAGAGTCCTTGGTTGAGAAGTTAAAAGGTCTGTGAGATAATAGAGGGTCTTGGAGTGACCCAGGCGGGGGCTGGTCTATGAGTATAGTGTGTTCCAAAAGGAATGAGATAGGTACAGTGAGAAGGAAGGGCACTCATTTGTCTACATTTTTAAAAGCTTATTTATTTATTTCTTCCATAATTGAGAGAGAGGAAAGAGAATGAGAGAGCTCTGAAAGGGTTTTCATGCCATGATCCATCCCCAGACTCAGCTGGCCCAGATCACAGACACACACATGTTCAGCTGATGTGCATAGGGAGGTCACTGGACACAGACTCAGGACCTTTCCTATGTGAGACCAGTTGCGTTACCACTGTGCCACACTTTCCCCTGATCTGCTCTCTAAAAGAAGATAACATATCAAAGAGCTTCACAGAGCCTCCTGGTCTCCATCAGAGATAGGGAGTAAAAAGGGAGCTTAAGCAGAGAGATTCAGAGGCCACTACCTCCAGGATCATGATGTATCCAGTTGCCAGGACCCAAGCTTTGCATGGCTTCTATGGCCCCTGCCAGGGGAGGAAAATGCTCATGGGTCAGACCCTGGGCACTGCCTTGAACTGATTTCTCCTTCCATACACTGGGAGTTACTGGGACCCCAGGCCTCTGCTTTCATGTTATAAATTATTTGGAGGCAAGTTGAGCAGGGAGGGTAGTACTGAGAACTTTTGGGGACATGGGTCACTTCTCCTGTACTGGAGGCACCAGCTGGAGAGGCAGGTGCATAGACACACAGTGACACACAAGCATGACACACGCAGTTAGGTAGAGGCAGACCCTGCCTGGGTGGTGAAGGCTTCACGAGGAGGAGTCCTGGATTGCATGGGGTGAGGGATGGGTGCACAAACAGGGAAGGAGGTACAGCAGTTCATAGAATCCTGGAAGTCCAGACACCACTGTCCTGCTATGGCAGCTGGGACAAATCACCTCCCTCTCCAGGCTGCAGTCTGCTCATCTGTAAAACAGAGGATTGGGCCTAAAGATTTCTCACTAAAGGCTCTCACAGGATGATGTGCATAGGGAGGTCACTGGACACAGACTCAGGACCTTTCCCATGTGAGACCAGTTGTGTTACCACTGTGCCACACTTTCCCCTGATCTGCTCTCTAAAAGAAGATAACATATCAAAGAGCTTCACAGAGCCTCCTGGTCTCCATCAGAGATAGGGAGTAAAAAGGGAGCTTAAGCAGAGAGATTCAGAGGCCACTACCTCCAGGATCATGATGTATCCAGTTGCCAGGACCCAAGCTTTGCATGGCTTCTATGGCCCCTGCCAGGGGAGGAAAATGCTCATGGGTCAGACCCTGGGCACTGCCTTGAACTGATTTCTCCTTCCATACACTGGGAGTTACTGGGACCCCAGGCCTCTGCTTTCATGTTATAAATTATTTGGAGGCAAGTTGAGCAGGGAGGGTAGTACTGAGAACTTTTGGGGACATGGGTCACTTCTCCTGTACTGGAGGCACCAGCTGGAGAGGCAGGTGCATAGACACACAGTGACACACAAGCATGACACACGCAGTTAGGTAGAGGCAGACCCTGCCTGGGTGGTGAAGGCTTCACGAGGAGGAGTCCTGGATTGCATGGGGTGAGGGATGGGTGCACAAACAGGGAAGGAGGTACAGCAGTTCATAGAATCCTGGAAGTCCAGACACCACTGTCCTGCTATGGCAGCTGGGGCAAATCACCTCCCTCTCCCAGCTGCTGTCTGCAAATCACCTCCCTCTCCAGGCTGCTGTCTGCTCATCTGTAAGACAGAGGATTGGGCCTAAAGATTTCTCACTAAAGGCTCTCACAGGATCAGTTGTCAGAAGTTCGGATTGTGGTTGACATTCAATAAGCATAGCTAATTTGAATGGCTGTTGTAAATACCATTTTGCAGCTGAGGCTCCACTGTATCA